CCCCACAAAACACTCAGGAAGGGGAAAGTCCGGTTGCTGTTTATTGAAACCCAGAACCACCGTACAGAAGCCACCGGCGCCCTGCGTCACGTTCACATTGCGTTTCTTTCCCCCCATCCCGCCCCCCACGGGGCTTTGTGCTGGGGGGGAGCAGGAGCAGGCTGAGTGTCCAATAGAAAGAGCTGGCCACTGCCAGGGGCTCTTTTATCACTCCCCTCCCGAAATCTGGAGCCTCTGGAATTGCGTGAACCCAGGCAGGATCGGCAGGGGGAGGGGGCGGGTGCCGGGGAGACGGAGATTTTCGTCGGGGGAGAGATGGCCCCAGAGCGATCAGCCCAGCCGGGCACCCAGTCTAAGGAATAGAGCCCTGCGAACCTGCCAGGAGCCGTGGCTGTGCCGGCAGAAATCCATGGCGCATGGAGGCAGACCCGAATTTTGGAGCGAGCACACCGGTGGCTGTGGAGAGCCGCGGGACTTTTGCAGGTGCCAGTTTTGTACCCACACGGAGTTCTGCTAAGAAGGTTCTGAATTCACCAAGCCCAAGATACCAACTCGGGACCTTTCCACCTGCAGCCCCTCCTCCCCTGCAACATGCAATACGAGCCACAGGCAACGCCAGGCCCCCAAAAGGAAACCTGACCCTTGGGAAAGTGGCCCCAACATTTTAAAAAGGTGTTTTCAGGCCTCAGATCTGGGCAAAAATCCCGCTTTGTGAACGGGTTTTTTTGGTTGCTTTCTCGTCAGGGAACGGGCATTTTGCGGGGAGGGGCAGCAACGTCCAACAAACACAGAGCCAAGATGGGGGAGAAGGGGGTCGTATCTTTGATCAGATCGAGTCCCGGAGGAAGGACGTGCCCCCCCCCGCCAATGGCGACCCCATAAAAGGTATCTTTGTCGCTCAGAGTTGGATTGTGCTGCTGAAATCTGGGGTGAGGGGGGTGTTCCCCCACCCAGCTCATAAAACATGATGGTTTTCTTCGTCTCTGGGCCAGACCTGGAATCGAAGGGCTGTAATATGTCGGGGAGGGAAGCCCCCACTTTTTTGGGAGAAATCAAAACATGGGCTGGGGGTTTGTTTGAAAGAGGGAGAATTTTCTGGTTTGAGGGGTTTGGATTTGGGGCGGGGGGAGGGATTAGGGGAAGGACAAAAAGCCGGGGAAAAGAAGCGTATTTCTTGCTCAAACGCTTCCTTCCAAAATGAAGGCCCCAATGTCGGGCCGATGTCGCTCCTTTGGGGGAGGCCAAGCAAGATACGCCCACAGCACAAGGAGGAGGAGAATAGGGGAGCGATGGAACTTCGTCACTGGGGCTTCCTGGCTCCCAGCCCTAACCACTAGACCCCACACCCCTCCCAGAGCCGGCGCGAGACCCCGGGGTCCTGATGCTATACAGAGCCCCTTCCTGACAAAAGAAGTGCACCTCGTGCTGCATGTACCCGGACGCAACCATGATCACGAAATAATAGAGTTCATGATCTTAAGGAAAGGTAGAAGGGAGACCAGCACAATTGAGGTAATGGATTTCAGGAAGGCAGATTTTGATAAGCTCAGAGAACTTGTAGGTAAGGTCCCATGGGAAGCAAGACTGAAGGGAAAAACAACTGAGGAGAGTTGGAAGTATTTCAAAGGGACGTTGTTAAGGGCCCAAAAGCAAACAATTCCGCTGTGTAGGAAAGATAGAAAATATGGCAAAAGACCAGCTTGGCTTAACAAGGAGATCTTGCACAATCTCAAAATAAAAAAGGAGTCATATAAAAAATGGAAACTAGGACAAATAACAAAGGATGAATATAGGCAAGCAACACAGGAATGCAGGGGCAAGATTAGAAAGGCAAAGGCACAAAATGAGATCAAACTAGCTACAGGCATAAAGGGAAACAAGAAGACCTTTTATAAATACATTAAAAGCAAGAGGAAGACCAAGGACAGGGTA